CAACTTTCTAACTTAAATTTTTAGCATTTTCAACTATAAAAAAATCAGCATTAACCCTTCAAATATTGCATTTCTTGCAATAATGTCCCACAATTCTCAAAACTTGTATATTAGCCCTTTTTACCAACTCAAGCTTCTAAATTGATCTCCAAGTCTCATAGAATACTTCTAATATCATTTCTAGGCCATATGAAATTTTTCATATTTTCCCCTAATTTCTTCATATGGCCGAATATTTCAAGTAGCTTTAGACATGATTTACATTCAATTTCAAGCATGAATCCAACTTTCTAACATCAAACTCATGATATTCTAATCATAATAACATCAAATTACATCAAAATCCAATCACTCTCTAAAACCGTAGCATGGTCGAACATCATATAAGCATGAACAATTAATTTTAATCATTATACATACCTTAGGATTAATCATTAACATGAAAAACATAAAAATCCTTCATCAATTCTTCAAAATTCCTAAACCTTACATAAACCCTAATTTCCAAATCTCATGAAATAAGCATGAACACAATGTAATATTTATACCAAATGATAGAGAATTTCATGTAGACTAATTCTCTATCTAATAGTTTAATCCAAAAATCAACCATAAAGCTTCAAAAATCAAAGTAAAGATCATACCTTGATAGCCATGTAGGTTCCGGCCAAGAGAAAATAGCAAGCTGAAAATGTTGATTTATCTACATTATTCTAGTATTTAATAACTCAATTTAATATTGATTTATCTACATTATTCTATGTACACTTGGCATTTTTATAATATAATTGAATTTAATATTCAATTTAATGAGAAATTTCAAAAATACCATTAATGAAACTTGAAAATTACCAAATGCCATTTCATTTTCTTCCAATAAAATATTCTTTATTCAAATATGAATCAACTTGGCTTTGGCTTTCACTTTGGCCATGCAATTTTCAAAAATTGTATTTTAGTCATTATTTTCCACTGTTCAACCAAATCTGAAAAATGACATTGTTCTAAGCCAAATTTATTTAATATAAAATATGGAAATAATATTTCCAACCATTTTCTAAAATAATTCAAATTTTCATAAAATTTCGGTTCGATCCGACTATCTGATTTTAATACCGAACTTTATCACTTTATACCTTTTAACACAAATCTCGAACTGAAAATCTGATTCCAACGAAAATCCTTGTTTAGGCCAAACTGTTCATTTACGGGATAAAATCTATAACTTTTCAAAATTACATTTTTTATCCCTAAACTTTTACAATGTTTATACTTTAACCCTCAAACTTTCAAAACTTACATTTTAATCACTAGTTAAAATTTGGTGTATTACAGTTGGTCGTCATCTACAATGGTTTAAACCCTAAATTTCATCATAAATTTCATCTTGATTTTTTTGTTTGATTCATTGTATTAATTGCCTCTAAAATCTCTGTAAACAATTACAAAATCTTCTTAAAGTTTTCAAACTTCTTAGAACCTCCACTTCTATTGTCCACTATCATATGCTCTCTGTCTCAAGATATATTCTTCTTCTCATTAATAATGGTCTTTTCTACTATCATATACTCTCTGTCTCAAGATATATTCTTCTCGTTAATAATGGTCTCTTCACTGTTTGATTCGTTGAATTTTTAAATTCTCTTATATTTTATATTTTGTCGCTGTATATCCTATTTGTTATCTAATTTTAAACTCCCTAAAATTGTATAACTCCTCGTCCTTTAAAATTTTTAATATAACCTCTTAGGTCCGCATCTCCTGACATAAATTTTTACATTCGTCTCTGACCACGTGTAATAAAAAATTAATCATTTTTTAACAACACCTTTTAGCGTCTGATTAATAAACACTTCCAGCTGTTATGTATTTGGAATTTATTTTTTGTAATTTTGGGGATTGAAGTCGAAACTTTGACTCGAATAAACAATAGCATTGGAAATGATTGCCACCACTACTTCTTGGACACCATAAGCCTAGAATTATTGATAGTGGCTCGAGACTCAACTGAGTCCAATGTCATTTTTAGTCAACAACTAAATATTTTTATTATTTATTTATTTATAAAAATATAAAACAATAATGGGTAAAGTACACGAAGTGTCCCATGACTATAAGATAATGATTTATTGAGTTCGTTGACTATTAAAAATTACAAAATGATCATCTGATTATAGCGAGTTGCTTTGTTGAGTCCCTCGATTATTAAAAGTTACAAAATGATCATATGACTATTAATTAATTATGTTTCGAATTCATCATTTTCTATTAAAATTTTGACGGCAATATGAACTGTACGTTAATTTACTGACTGAGATATGATAAAATCTAATCTCACAATCTCAAATGACTATCATATCTCAGTCAACATATTAACGTGCGTTAGTCATTAATAATTAGGGATGGGCATTTAAACCCGACCCGATCGGGTCGGGTTTTTTTATAAAAAAAATCGGGTTCGGGTCGGGTTGGATCGGGTTTTTTTGTATGTGGTGTTTGGGTTCGGGTTTAGGGTGAGAAAAAACCGACCCGACCCGAAAAAAATATACAATTTTACCCTATATATTTATGGATAATTACAATAATACCCCTATATATATATTTTTTTCCAATTTAGTCATTGTTTTTATTGAATAAAAATATTTTTTTTATTATTTCGGGTCGGGTTTTTATGTCATATATTCGGGTCGGGTCGGGTGGAACCTTATTTTGGTCGGGCCGGGTCGGGTCTCAGTGGAGGCTCTCTTGTTCTCGGGCCGGGTCGGGTGGACCAAAAACCCGACCCATTCCCATCCCTATTAATAATGGCTAAGCTGGCAAATGCGTTGTGCTGGCACAAAAGGCTTACGAATTTGTTAGAGCATGTTGAATTTGCCGATTTTCTCATTGTTTTTTGCTCATACAAAATGCCTTATTTTATTCATTCGCCAAACTCGTATATAAAGGAAAACAAAACCCTAGAAGCTTCCATGCAATTCTGTTATAACCGTCTAACAAATTCGTAAGCCTTTTTGTGCCTGCATAGTCCATTTGCCAGCTCAACCATTGTTAATGACTAACAACGTTCAACTCAGACGATCATTAAATTTTTAACGGTAAAGAACGGATTTGGAATATAATGAATAGTCGAGTGATCGTGTTATGACTTTTAGTTGTCGATGGACTCAATGAAGTAACTCCTTATAGTCGAAGGATCATTTTGTAACTTTTAATAGTCAAGGGACTCAGTAAAGCATTATCCTATAATCTGGGTACCGTCTGTGTACTTTACCCAATAGTAATTAGAAATCTCAGCTTTTAGAAAGTAAAATCAGTGGCGTTCTTCCATGGTCCTACACTTTAATCTCCAGGTTTCGACAACTCCTAATCCCAAGCAGATTCTCCTTTGATTTAATCTTTGCTTTGATCATCATTAAATTATGCGTCAAAATAATAAAAACCCTAATATTTGTATACTACTTTGACTCAACTTTAGTAAGATCAGTCAAAGATTATCATTTTTATTCGAGTTTGATCCAATTCTTTACTCTATTCTCATCATCAAAAAGAGGGAAATGATATTTTAAAAACTTTATTTTATAATTAAAATCGTTAAATATTTAACATCGTTTAAATATATACAAAAAAAAACTCAAAAACTTTCCTCTCGAACTTATATTTTCTTTTTCTCTTAGATTTACTGTGATAAGAATATTTTTTTTTTCCAATTGGAGATCTCGATTTCATAATGATTAGATAATAGAGATCGTAGATCGAAACAAGATAACATGAAACTTTGATTTAAATTTTATCAATTTTAAGAATATTTTAATTTAAATTTTAAAAATCTCAACCTTACTAATAAGTAAAATTCTTCGTTGATGAAGTAATGTTTTGAGTCGGTGGGATATTGATGGGATGTGTGGTTCATGCATGACTTAGTCGTGTCCACATAATTTCACAATCTTTTGGTTGTTTTTTTATATATTTTTTTAGGTTTTTGTCCTGATTATATCATACATTTGGTTTTGGTCGATAAATTTTATAACAATTTTTTTTTACATATACAAGATCTTAGACTTGAAATATACTTAAATAATATCAAAATATTTATTATTTAAACTAATCCCGTCGATAATTGTACATTTTTGTCACTATAAGGGGACAATAGGACACATATGACCAAAAGATTATTATGGTGAGTTGCCTAACAAATACGGTGTTGCTATCGGAAAGGATGTACATACATTGGACCAAAGCATGTCGCTTTCGGTTATAACAATTATTTCTGATCAATCACATCCGAGATACCTAAAATAAGGGACGAAAAATATTATTTCATTAGTTGTTAAAAAGATTAGAATATGATACCAATAATCACTTAATTTAATAGGATGAAGTACGAGATATTTTAAGTAAATTGATCAATTGATACTAAGGTGATTATAAAGTATTATTTGTTCTAAATATTCTTAACTATTTGACATGAACGTTCAATCATCCTGTTGTAGTTGTCGATGTTCGAATCTATAATCTCTAGAAAGAAAAATAATTCATTTAACTATTGAGGTAAGTTAGTTCGTATAAATATACGCTAAATTATTAAAAATATTATTAGTGCACTTTGAAATCAAAATGTAAACATCGTAATTTTCATTCATTAATGCAATGTACACTCTTGTCCCTGTTATTTCATCACATACGATGCCTTTTCTCTTTCATGGAATGCCGCCCAACTTTATTAAATCCAAATTTACATTATTTTCCATTTTATTTATATTTTAAATCAATGTTTTATAATTAAAAAAAATGGTAAAAAAAACATGTGTTTATGTATATTTGAAAAGCAGTTTATATTAAAAAATGTTTTTTTCCACAAAAAGTGGAAACTAGATATTTTTCATCTCCACGTGTCGGTCATCAAGTTCAAACTGGACCCCACTCTACCGGCAATACCCGGTAATTAGTCTCTTCACATATTTCCCTAGTACATGTGTTTTTGCTTAGCTTTGTCATCACTCTTCAGTTTTTACTTGGAGTTTCATTTTCATTCATTAAGAAGAAGAAGAAGAAAAACACTTGTTTGGGGAGTTTGATCTTGGAGATGTCAAGCGCTATGGAGGAAGAAGGGGTTAGCTTGGAGGAGTTGAAGAAGAGAATGGCCGAGTTTGCAAAGGAAAGAGATTGGGATCAGTTTCACAGCCCTAGGAATCTCCTGTTGGCCCTGGTATTCTACACTCTAAAACCCTAAAATCATTCTTCTTTCATTTATCTGAACAATTCTCACTTTCCCACTGTTCTTCCTGCATCTATTGTTTACCCGGAGTGTAATCACTCAACAAGAGCAAGAAAAACACCGCCTTTGGGTTGTCATGGGTACTTGGTTTATGATCCAAACGAAAGTTCACTTTTTTAAGCGTTTCTCTCGAAAACCCATTCTGGAAATTTTTGTTCTTGTTTGGGTTCCGAGAAACTTTTTCTTGCTCTTCCATCAACTGTGGAGTCAAGAATTAATGCCATGAAAAAGGAATGTGAAACAGTAGCACAAGTACCACTTGTGCGCTGCTTCCATAATGTTTTGAATCACTGTTTCAAGTAAAATGCAAACATAGGTTGTTGTTGTTTCCTATGATATATATATATATATATATATATATATATACATGGATCATGTAAAGTGTCGTAACCGTCTTTCGGTTGGGCCCCGGAATTGGGCTTCGACTTGAAAAATGTGATTGGAGTCGCCACCGATTATTTATTTAAAAAATAAATAGGTTAATCGGATACCTTATATCTTACCTGATCTGCGTCTTACCAAAGATATGTCGGATTCGGGAGTCGATTACGGTCAAGGAAGGATTAGCACCCTTGAACCGCCCTTTCGGTACTACGTAATTTGTCGGTTGTCTTAATTGCGAAAATTAAGAATTTAAATTTAAATTTATAAAAATTCAATTCAAAATAATTACCTTTGATCGATTGAAATTACCCCTAAAAAGTAAAAAAATGTTAAATTAAAAAATAAATATTAAATAAATCGACGAGAGAAAAAAAATAAAACACATGGTTACTTAGGGTAAATAACAATTTAAAATTGAACAATGGACAAAAGTAAGCACATATTTAAGTTACTTGGACTTTGAGTTTAGGATAAGCCACATAAATATGCTATTTTCTCCCCCCAAGTGTGCCCACTGTCCCCTGTGTCTTTTGAAACCTTTTCCTCGCAAAGCACACCGATGGGAAGCCTTGGCTAGAGCTTCTTTGAGAGGCAAATCCTCATCAGACAAAGAATTTAACGCCAAATCCTCATCAGACAAAGAATTTAACGCCAAATCCCCATCACTATACTCCCCGTCAGATGAAAGCATGTAACCCGCCATCGTATCGTCAATGGCCTGGCCATCAAACGGATCATCATCGACGATGTTAGCTCTAGCGACGTCGTACCCTGATCGTCGCCTTTGCTCCTGGATGTTTCTGGACCGTTTTAACGGTAACCTGATCAGACAGTAGAAGCTCGAATGAGCGGCGACTTGAACCCGGGGAAATGAAACAGCAACAGATGCCTGTCGTTTTGGGGATTGAGCGAGTCCCGTAGAAGAAGAGAAACGGTGTAGATTTAAAGACGATGGATGAGATGACGAATGAAAGTTCCATTTGATGGAGAGACCAGAGGCCATTTGAGAAAATTAACTGCCAAATGGTGTGAGCTTGGACAAGGATATTGAGCAATTGTACTGCTGCTTCTATTTTGGAATTCTGGTTTTGCTTTCCAGTTAAAGCATAACTAAAACATGAAACTTCAAGCAAAGATGGGTCTCCTTTTCTTCATGATTCCTTCCCCCCTACTCTCTATGAGATTACATGTATTTATACCCCAATAGTTTACTATTCTTAGCTCGAATTTTTGAGTCCCACTGAAACTGAATCTCCTGCTTCTGTGGTTTATTCCTTGCGTGACGTTGGGGAGGCGAAAAACTCGGCGGTGGACTCGGGCCGTTGGGTTGCTGCGCAGTGCTGTGGAAGGTTCAAGAGGGAAACGATGCCCTAGGGTTTAGCTTGGAGCGGTTCGGGTAGGGTTCCTGTACCCGGGTCGTGTGTTTGGGTCTGCTGCAACTGGAATGCGTTTTGGGCTTGGATCTTGGGCCGTTTTTTATTTGTATCAGGTTGCTAGTGTTGTATTGGCCTACAAAACAAAGATACATCATGTAATAAATAACATTATATATATAATACTATATATTATACGCATATAAATATAATGTATTTAATGTACATAACGTAAGCGACATTTTAAACGTGTATACACCGTAAGCGTATCATATACTACGAATACGCCACATAACATTATGTAACGCCAGACGAAAATATGTGGCTACAGCTGCCCCTCTTTGTCCTTTTTTGTGGAACGAAAAATAGGACAAAGATAAAATGACACAAATTTTCGTTCGGTGGAGTTGAGAAATTGACTCTGAAAGAAAAACTCCCTTTCAAATTTTGAGTTGCGGATGGCTCCCCCATCGCGAAGTTGAGTCCATCTTGAAATGATATGGAATTGAAACCGTAGTTCGAAACTTGAATCGGAATGCGGCTTCTCGTTGCCAGATTGTAGTCAACTTTGGTCTTCTTCTCGGTTTAAAGACCTTGGTTCAAACATTCGACTGGAAAATGGTTCTTTGACTCCACCATATAGTTGACAGGCTCTTCGAGCTAAATGAAATCGAACTCGAGAAATCTTCGTTGACAGATAGTTTTTCTCGACTTAAGCTATGCTGTCGGGAAACAGTTTCTTGTCACTAAGGCACGGATAACTCAGGTCTTCTTCTCGACTTGAAGACCTCGACTACAACCAGACAATAGTGTGATTGATGTGTCATCGAGTTGAACGGAATCGAACTCGACAATTTTATTGATAGATAGCCCTTCTTGCCTTGAGCTATTCTGCAAATGACGTGCCTTGGAGCTTAGCGTAGTCGAACTCGAAGGTCTTTTAGTGACAGGTAACCCTTCTAGCCTTGAGTTATGCTGTAAACGATGTGCCTCTGAGCTGAATGAAGTCGAACTCGAAGGTGTTTGTTGACAACCAGCGGTCCCTTCGTCGTGAAGTTGAACTTGCGTTGTCTGGAGTCCAATATCCTTCGTGGTGAAGTTGAAATTGGCTCTGAAATTGGGAAATTGTTTATTGACAACCAGCGGTCCCTTCGTCGTGAAGTTGAACTTACGTTGTCTAGAGTCAAGATCCTTCGTTGAGAAGTTGAAATTGGCTCTGAAATTGAGAAATGTTTATTGACAACCAGCGGTCCCTTCGTCGTGAAGTTGAACTTGCGTTGTCTTGAGTCCAATATCCTTCGTTGTGAAGTTGAAATTGGCTCTGAAATTGAGAAGTTGTTTGTTGACAACCAGCGGTCCCTTCGTCGTGAAGTTGAACTTGCGTTGTCTGGAGTCCAATATCCTTCGTGGTGAAGTTGAAATTGGCTCTGAAATTGGGAAATTGTTTATTGACAACCAGCGGTCCCTTCGTCGTGAAGTTGAACTTGCGTTGTCTAGAGTCAAGATCCTTCGTTGAGAAGTTGAAATTGAGTCTGAAATTGGGAAATTGTTTATTGACAACCAGCGGTCCCTTCGTCGTGAAGTTGAACTTGTGTTGTCTGGAGTCCAATATCCTTCGTTGTGAAGTTGAAATTGGCTATGAAATTGGGAAGTTATTTATTGACAACCAGCGGTCCCTTCGTCGTGAAGTTGAACTTGTGTTGTCTGGAGTCCAATATCCTTCGTTGTGAAGTTGAAATTGGCTCTGAAATTTAGAAGTTATTTATTGACAACCAGCGGTCCCTTCGTCGTGAAGTTGAACTTGTGTTGTCTGGAGTCCAATATCCTTCGTTGTGAAGTTGAAATTGGCTCTGAAATTGAGAAATGGTTTATTGACAACCAGCGGTCCCTTCGTCGTGAAGTTGAACTTGCGTTGTCTGGAGTCCAATATCCTTCGTTGTGAAGTTGAAATTGGCTATGAAATTGGGAAGTTATTTATTGACAACCAGCGGTCCCTTCGTCGTGAAGTTGAACTTGTGTTGTCTGGAGTCCAATATCCTTCGTTGTGAAGTTGAAATTGGCTCTGAAATTTAGAAGTTATTTATTGACAACCAGCGGTCCCTTCGTCGTGAAGTTGAACTTGTGTTGTCTGGAGTCCAATATCCTTCGTTGTGAAGTTGAAATTGGCTCTGAAATTGAGAAATGTTTGTTGACAACCAGCGGTCCCTTCGTCGTGAAGTTGAACTTGTGTTGTCTGGAGTCCAATATCCTTCGTTGTGAAGTTGAAATTGGCTCTGAAATTGAGAAGTTGTTTGTTGACAACTAGCGGTCCCTTCGTCGTGAAGTTGAACTTACGTTGTCTAGAGTCAAGATCCTTCGTTGAGAAGTTGAAATTGGCTCTGAAATTGAGAAATGTTTATTGACAACCAGCGGTCCCTTCGTCGAATTTTGTGAGCCGGATATCTTTCGTCGTGGAATTGAAATCTGGCTTGAAAGTGTTAACTGGAAACATACTGCTCATGGTTGAGTTTGTGTCGAACTGGATTTGTTTTGAACTGGTTCTCGAACTTATATGAAATTGGTTCTAAGATGTCAAGTCGGTTGAGGTGTAGCTTCTTACTGCCGAGTTAATCAACCACCATCCTTCTTTGAAGGCACTTGAGAATCGAGTATCCTTCATCCTGAAGTCAAAACTTGACTCTAAAAGCTGCAAAAACGTGTATGCTAAAATGATGAATGTGATGCACCTAAGTATGTTTAAGATGCATGCAATATGGATGAATTATGTGTTATCTCGTTCTTTGTCTGTTAATCAGGTCCTTGGAATGGATCGTGCCCCATTTGCTTCCCGAGCTTTGGCTTTATATACCTTTCATATCTAAGACTGTTCTGCTTGAAAATGTTTTTCTCCTTTTTCTTGTTTTAGGAGAGACATGATAAAAATGTTGTAAAATATTGTTCGCAATTGAATCAAATTGTAAATGTTAGTTCAAAAAATATCAAAGGAATCAAGAGCTCTTTTAATGCTTTCAGAGTTACAAATCTTTGACAAATGCTCAAATGAATGAGTTGGCTTTAGGTTGGCCTCTTTTCTAAGGTTTTGGTAACCCAAAATGTCATTTTTTTAAATATTGAAATATGCTTTGGCATTTCATGTGGGTGCGGACATAATGACGCAACTAGAATGACCAATTACTAGACATTTTATTTCGGTCCTCTGAAATCTTCCATTTGTTCAAGCTTTGTAGGCTCATCCAACAAAGGCAGTGCGAAAAATATCGGTCTAAAAATGAAATTCTTGAGTGCTCGTGTGTAGTCGACTATAACAGGTGTTCCTTAACTCCCTTAGTTCAACATTACCGAAAATTTCTTGCTCAGATAAATTTGAATTAATTTTCCATTGTCTGGCTAGCTGAATCCATAAAGTCGGGGCGTTTAACCAATTACTTTAGAGGGACAGCTTAACATTTAAATCACTTTTATCAGATTTAACTGAAGGGTTCATCTCATCACAAAGTCTTCGGCCTGACAAAAGCAGTGGAGCAAACACCGAATTGCCAAGTGTCCGAGCAATGTCATGGTTTGAATACAATCTATTCATAAAGCCAGGGCTTTCGAGTTTCCTCTGTAACCAATTGCCTTAGTGGAATAACTCAGTTTTACGGATTTAATTTCTTAAGATTGTCAAGAAGAACCTGTTATAGTCTAGGTGTCTGTTGAAAGTAAAAAATTTCATCTTTAGAGTTAAATTTTCAAGCAACTTACCTAAACTAGATTCACTTACTCGACTATTCTATCTGTGAAGATCATTATCATCACTGAACGTCTTAAATAAAAAGTATAATAATGTCATATGCAAAAGGATGCCCCATGTTGTCCGCACCTTATGAAAGGAAAATGTTATATTGGTAAATTACAAGAGCAGGGTACGGTGTTTGAGTGTATATTCTGGGTAAAGTCAAATTCATTGTTTTAAATCATGTTACTTCGTCAAAGATATGTAACTTTGAACCATTTCAGAGTTTCTTAATTCAGATGATATTCAAAGAATTGCAAGTTTGCAAATGTGATTCATTGTTTAACATCTTTAAAGTAACATAAATTTATTTAAAAGTCCTTACAAAAAAAATGAAAAAACAAATTCAAACAAAATGTCTCAAATGATGAAATGGTCTTCCTCACTTGGATGCCCCCAAGTTGTTGAAGTCGATCCGATTCTTGTTACGTATTTTATGTATGATTCTCTTGATTGTGGAGTAATTCTCGATAGTGCGCCCTGGGACTCCGCTATGATTTTCGCAACGAGCGTTCTCATCATACTACATGGGGTACAGGGCTTCATGGATTTCCCTGGATATGGTGACACCACATGTGTGTGTCAAAAAGTTATTTGTAGAGCTCTTTGTAGGTCATGGGAATAGGGTCGAAATGTTCCCATTTTTGATGAAACATATGAAGATAATTAATGGGAATGTAAAGAAATGAACAAAATGCAAAATGTTTAAATGCATGATGCATGAAATGTCCGAGGCATTGATCCGAAAATGTGCCTATTATTCTGAATAATCCTTACTGGGGACAAAAATGTTACGTCTGAAGAGACAAAAAACTTTTTGATGGTATAGATCCCGCACAGTCTCTGGAAAGTTGATTCGTCTTCCGCTTTTTCACCGGTTGAATATCCTGTCGAACCATTTTGACTCCTTTGGCTAAACTTGTGCGGGTGATTAGTTGCCTGCCCAAAAAATGTCTCGAATGACTGCATCTCCGTCCTTCACTCTGTGCCGAGCTCGTTCCAAACGAAAGTGCCATTGGAGCCCTCCATCCGGAGTTTGTCGACTTATTTTTGGAATTCAGCAATAATGGTGTCCAGCTTAGCTAGGGTTTCACCATCTTGTTCTCGTAATTTTCGAAAGGACTCTCCGGGTCATTAACTATTTCCTCGTCATGCCCCTGAAACCTTTGCCTCTAAGTATTCTTTGATACCGGTTGGACTTCTGAGCTTTTTATCTCTTTGTATTATAACCCCTTTGTCCATTAATGCAGATTATTCATGTTTTAACAAACACATTTTTGGTGGATCAACACCTCGTTTTAATGATGTGAATGATAAAAAAAAAAGAACAAAAATAAAAGGAGAAAAAAAAGTTAGTGAGATAAGGATAATAATAAAAAAAGATGAAAATGAAAAGTCCTACCCCACATGATATCTACCCGAACATGCTTAGTATTCCTACCCAGACATGATCTCTATCCCGCATGCTAATTTCAAACAAATCCTAACCGCATATTTGTCTAGTTCGCATGCTTCGAACAGAGAGTAAAGTAGGAAATAAAGTAGCCTAGGGTTTGGAATGAGGTTTTGGGGTGGGCTTTAATTCTTCATAATCTTCCGGTTTAGGTTCTAAAAAGGTACTCGAGTTCTCCTTGCTGGTGTCCCCTTGGGCTTGCCAGACCCTTAGTCCTAAGCCCATTACAAGCTAATGTGGACTAAGTTAAACTCGAGAGGAAACATTCCCTTATGCCCGCACGGTGAATAAATTCACACGAAGACATAAGATATATGAATCCCGAAGGCTACTTGCTAGGCATATGCGGTGAATAAATTCACACGAATGCGTCGCTTTCACCCCCACTTAAAAGGGTTTGGAGCTCGGGTATAGAGCCAAAGATGAAAATTTTAAAAAATCTGAAATCATTGAACAAACGTTAGTACAACTATTTACTTGAAGGATAATCAAAGGTAAATAAATGGAATCGAATAAATAAATTAAAATTTAAACTTGCAATTTTTGCTAAAAAAGACAACAAAAATTAATTATGGCCTGACTCACTTACCTGTCCCCAGCGGAGTCGCCAAGCTGTCGTAACCGTCTTTCGGTTGGGCCCCGGAATTGGGCTTCGACTTGAAAAATGTGATTGGAGTCGCCACCGATTATTTATTTAAAAAATAAATAGGTTAATCGGATACCTTATATCTTACCTGATCTGCGTCTTACCAAAGATATGTCGGATTCGGGAGTCGATTACGGTCAAGGAAGGATTAGCACCCTTGAACCGCCCTTTCGGTACTACGTAATTTGTCGGTTGTCTTAATTGCGAAAATTAAGAATTTAAATTTAAATTTATAAAAATTCAATTCAAAATAATTACCTTTGATCGATTGAAATTACCCCTAAAAAGTAAAAAAATGTTAAATTAAAAAATAAATATTAAATAAATCGACGAGAAAAAAAAAATAAAACACATGGTTACTTAGGGTAAATAACAATTTAAAATTGAACAATGGACAAAAGTAAGCACATATTTAAGTTACTTGGACTTTGAGTTTAGGATAAGCCACATAAATATGCTATTTTCTCCCCCCAAGTGTGCCCACTGTCCCCTGTGTCTTTTGAAACCTTTTCCTCGCAAAGCACACCGATGGGAAGCCTTGGCTAGAGCTTCTTCGAGAGGCAAATCCTCATCAGACAAAGAATTTAACGCCAAATCCTCATCAGACAAAGAATTTAACGCCAAATCCCCATCACTATACTCCCCGTCAGATGAAAGCATGTAACCCGCCATCGTATCGTCAATGGCCTGGCCATCAAACGGATCATCATCGACGATGTTAGCTCTAGCGACGTCGTACCCTGATCGTCGCCTTTGCTCCTGGATGTTTCTGGACCGTTTTAACGGTAACCTGATCAGACAGTAGAAGCTCGAATGAGCGGCGACTTGAACCCGGGGAAATGAAACAGCAACAGATGCCTGTCGTTTTGGGGATTGAGCGAGCCCCGTAGAAGAAGAGAAACGGTGTAGATTTAAAGACGATGGATGAGATGACGAATGAAAGTTCCATTTGATGGAGAGACCAGAGGCCATTTGAGAAAATTAACTGCCAAATGGTGTGAGCTTGGACAAGGATATTGAGCAATTGTACTGCTGCTTCTATTTTGGAATTCTGGTTTTGCTTTCCAGTTAAAGCATAACTAAAACATGAAACTTCAAGCAAAGATGGGTCTCCTTTTCTTCATGATTCCTTCCCCCCCTACTCTCTATGAGATTACATGTATTTATACCCCAATAGTTTACTATTCTTAGCTCGAATTTTTGAGTCCCACTGAAACTGAATCTCCTGCTTCTGTGGTTTATTCCTTGCGTGACGTTGGGGAGGCGAAAAACTCGGCGGTGGACTCGGGCCGTTGGGTTGCTGCGCAGTGCTGTGGAAGGTTCAAGAGGGAAACGATGCCCTAGGGTTTAGCTTGGAGCGGTTCGGGTAGGGTTCCTGTACCCGGGTCGTGTGTTTGGGTCTGCTGCAACTGGAATGCGTTTTGGGCTTGGATCTTGGGCCGTTTTTTATTTGTATCAGGTTGCTAGTGTTGTATTGGCCTACAAAACAAAGATACATCATGTAATAAATAACATTATATATATAATACTATATATTATACGCATATAAATATAATGTATTTAATGTACATAACGTAAGCGACATTTTAAACGTGTATACACCGTAAGCGTATCATATACTACGAATACGCCACATAACATTATGTAACGCCAGACGAAAATATGTGGCTACATAAAGATCCCACATTTTTTTTTTCATCTGCAAAGACACAATCTTGGGGATCTGATGATGGTTCATTTGTCAGTCCTAAGAACATGTTTTGTTGTAGGTGGGGGAAGTGGGGGAGCTGTCGGAGATATTTCAATGGAGAGGAGAGGTCGAAAGGGGACTCCCCGATTGGAAAGACGAAGAGAAGCAACACTTGGGGGAGGAGCTGTCGGATGTGTTGCTATACCTCGTCAGGCTGTCCGATATCTGCGGGGTTGATCTCGGCAAAGCTGCTTTGAGGAAGATGGAGCTTAACGCCATTAAATACCCAGTCGGGATCTGCAAAGGTTCATCCAAAAAGCACACGCTTTTCCATGCAGATAAGAGCGATGCTAATGGTGATATTGCAGCTGTGGATCAGGGACATCGACAGTGACATTACATGGCACGGAAAGGATCTATTTTGATGTTTGATGCTTGCTTAGACTATACTGCTTGGATTAGATGATTAATGTCGTATAATTAGTATTGATTTTTAGTATTTTTTTTGTTTATTTGAATGAGCACAATCTGGGGTGGTGTGCCATAATGCCTGGAGTGAGTAATAGTTAAATAGTAGAGTGTCTTTAAGAGATTTCATGGCTGCTTGTGGTCACCGTGTGAACTGCAGTGAATTGATTTGCAATGAAATGTCAACGTTTATTTTAATGTTTCTCTTTTCTTGAGAAATCATGTCCTTGAATTGATATATATATATATACATACATACATACAGGACAAGATCATGATACACAATATACAACTCGTTTAATTTTACATAGATTTAATATCTTTGGATGAGTAAAAATAGTTGGTTGAATTAACAGTAGAAAATGAGAAGATATTGATCATCTCTTTTCACTCATCCAGATGTCTTAAACTTGTGTAAAACTAAAGAGTTTTACAATGTGTATATATATAAGTTTTTCACGTGGCCAGTGTGACTAGGGCTATAAATAAGGCATACATATCATGAGTTACTTGCGATGACTAGGTGAAAATTTGATAAATACCCGACTCAAATGCACTTGATTTGAGCTCGACTCAGGTTCTTAATGGGCCGAAACAAGTTATTTGATACACGACTTGAAAAGCTCACAAGCAACTAGAAAATATAATATATTAATATTTTATTTTTAACAAATTGTTAATAATATTAATATTAATATTAACATTTATGTGTTGATTTTTTAAAAGAAAAAAAAATAAAGTACAAGATTTTCATGTATTTAAGGTATGAGCTTGAGTTCTTTTTCATTTCGAGCTTCAATTCATGGTTTCGAGTTGAGTTTGAAAATCTTAGACTCGTGAATTTTCGAATCGCCGAGTTGAGAGTATGCAGAGAGTATAAAACTTAACCAAAAGATCATACATAACATGACAATGCAAAATTAGACCAGAATAACATTTAATTAAATATTTAGATTTTGAACTTATATACTTAATTAACCAATTAAATTAATTAAAATTAAATAAATAATTAAAATGAAAAAAAAAACAATTCATTTCTAATAATGGCAGCCCATGTCCACGTGAAATCTGTGGCCTGCTAAGAAATTCAAAGCAGCTCATGCTGGAAATCATGACTAACCCATGCCAATTTCAAACTCAAATTTTAATTGGAAATGATCACAAAGGTTATTCAGGATTTTAGATTATTTAAAATTTTATTGAGTTTAGAAATTCTTGGAATATATTCTTCATGTTTATTCGGAATTTCTCGATATTTCATTTTAAGATAAAAATTCCTTTTTTCTAATGTATTTTGTTTGTTAATTAATGGTTTCCATCAATAAAATGATATTTCCCCCCAAAATAAAATATCGAGAAAGTTAAAAATATTAAAAGAAAAATTAATCAAAATGATTATGTCGAAACGATTTTTTAACCGTACGGGGGCGAGATTTTGAAAACCGCGTCATTTTTAATTATTCTCTTTTCAATTGAATTTTAATTAAAAACAATGCAATTTTAGAAAACCTCTCGTTTCGAAAATTTGGAATTCCTTTTACGATAAAAACACATGGTTCGAGGAGTCGCCACCAATCTTTGATTAGGGTGTGATTGGGCACCCAAAAACATTTTGTCATTTTAAATAAAAATTAATTTTAATTAAAACGACAAGTAGAGGTCTGCGTTATCAAAATCTGAGTTCGGGAGTCGATTACGTGTGGGGAAGGATTAGCACCCCCACAACGCCCTAAATTGGTACCTAGTCGATTAATTATTGTCTTTGCAATGAATTTTACAAGTTCGACTTTAATTTAATTTTTTGATCCCTTAAAACAACAAAAATGCAAATTTACAACATTCAAAGCAACAAAATAAATTTAATTGAAATTACCAAACCATTAGAAAGATAAAGGATATTCGATTATTTAGAAATATCGAGACCAGATCTTTAGGTCAGTTCTAACGACATTTTCTCAATAAATTTAAATAGCCGAACATTTCTTTTTCTTTCACTCCCAAATTTTAAAGTGGAGAATCAAAATTTTAGTGACAATGACGGGATACACTTGTAATTTAAAATCATCAATAACGACCTTCCAGTAAGTTATGAAAAGCCATTTCGACAATTTTAAATTAAAAGGGTATTATCCTTAATCAAATTATGTAATAGGAGTCGAGTTGCATATGAGGCTAACATGCTTATAGAAAATGAATTACACCTAAATTTATGCAAATTACAACATACTCGAAATGATATACACATGCAACATAAAAATAAACTACATTTGACTCTATGCGTATGGACAAAATACTCGAAATAATATACACATGCATATATTTAAAATAAATCTGAAATTAACCTATAATTATGCATAAAATATTAGACAAGGACTAAAATGTAAAGAACATAAACAGAAGGATCTTTTCATAAAAATTCATTTCCAAGTACCGCAAATATAATATAACCAAAGTTCTACATAGGACCAAAATGAACGTTTGTCAAATTGCATATCCAATGTGAAAACAACCGAAAATAGCCCTAAACATGAAATTGGACAAAAATGAAACACTCAGAAAATTACAAGGCAAAATCAGAAAAGAGTAAAGCTCGGTTAAGGAACCAAAATGTAACAGACTGAACCTACTGGGCCTCACACGAGATTCATCCAATATCCTAAAACATGGGATATTCCCCTAGCCATAAAACGCTGTCGTTTTGGAACAGCTCGACACTACGTCGTTTTAACGCGCAGATATATCGTTTATTAGGGTAATTTTTGAAGCCCTGGATCATTTCTTTCCCAACCTAAACAGATACCCTTTGCCCCCAGCCGTCTTTCTCTCAAATCTCTCCTCCCTCGTCTCGTCTAACCTAAGGAAACCCTAGACAAAAACTCCCAAACGCCGCAGCCTCCGCCGCCTAACAACCCCGCTGAAATACTCAGATTAACCCCAAAGCCTAGGATCTAAAAGATTTTTGACCCCCCACTAAAACCAAACTCACGGCCACCGCGGGTTCTCCCCCTGCTCCGACGAGGAACCAACTCCTCCAATACCCCTCACTGCTTCCCTTCCTAGGACCCTAGCCTCACAGTCCAACCAAAACCTAAGGAAACCCTCACTTTTAAGACGAACCGAGCCTCACAAACCCCAACTCATGCAACAACAGTAGTCTAGAGGTGAAATCTTACCCTCGACGACCCAACGGTGTTCGGGATTCGGGCAAGGGTGATGGTTCTCCTCTTCATCTCAGGAAGGTAAGGATTGTATTGTTATGCTCTCTGAAATTTTGATTGGCGTTGATTGCTCTAATCTGTGTTTCTGGGTTCCACCGATGGTTGTTGGTGATCAGTTCTTTGGTTTTCCTTTTTCTGGTTCTGCTAATGGATTTCTTTGGTTGCGTTTTTGCTAGAAAAGGGTCAACAGTTGCTCTCGGGTTCCCTCGTTATCTTTGTTTTTCTCCTGTTTTTCTCTTGATGATGGCTCTTTGTTTTTTTGTTGTTGATGGCTGGTAGTTCTCTAGGGTTCTCTCGGTGATCGTTGATTGATGATGGTTTTTTGTTTTTTTTTTTTGTTCTTCCCCCTTTTTTTTTTTGCTGATGAATGAGAGATCCCCTTTTGTTGATGAATACTCTCCCGTTCTCCCTCCTTTTTTTTTTTGCTTCCTCGTGTTCTGTTGTTTTGTGTGCAGGGCCCCCCGGTTGGGCATGGTGATCACGGGCGACGATAATGGTGGCCTTGGTATCGGATGGGTGGCCGACCAACACGGGTTTCCTGCGCATGCTGGCTTGGTGATCGTGCTCTGCCTGGGAACCGAGCTTCTCGGTCAGTGTGCTGTCGGGTGTGGGCATCACGTGAACCGTTGCATCGTGATGCCAGATCCAACGGCCAAATGTGGTGCAGCGCTGAGAGCTGGTAGCATGAAACCCCAACCGGTTTAGGGTTCTTTTGTACATGGACTGTTGAACCGCTCATCCCAAAACAGGCTGTTGTTTGGGTTGAATTTGATAGCCTGATTTGGGCTTGTAGTGATTTGGCCTGTAACATAACAAAAATAATATTTAGTCCATGTTTCCTATATTTATTTGTTTATTTATTTACATATATATATATTAATAACTACGTAACACCAGACTTATAATAATAACCAAAATAACAATAATAAAACCCAAATTAAACTCAAATAATCCCGGACAAATCGAGCATCTACAGCTGCCCCTCTTTGCTCATTGTCGTATAACGAGAATAGAGCAAAGATCAAAAGATGATCAAGTTTGCCCGACCATAAGATCTTTGATAGACTAATCCGCCCCACTCTTCCTCTAGGGTGAGTGAGACTTGAAAAAAAATCTTCTGAAAATGGGTTCGCTCCCTCTTTCTCCAGGAGAATAGAACTCGAACATCTTCAAAAATCGCGTCAGCTCTCTAGTCCTTTTCAGGGAGTATAGAATTCAATAAATCTTCAGAAAAATGGGTTCGCTCCCTATTTCTTCAGAGAGTATAAGACTTGAATCATCTTCAACAAATTTGTCTGCCCCCTATTTCTTCAGAGAGTATAAGACTCGAACAATCTTCAACGATTGCGTCTGCCCCCTATTTCTTCAGAGAGTATAAGACCCATAATCTTCATCAATCGCATCTGCCCCCTATTTCTTCAGAGAGTATAAGACTCGAACAATCTTCAACGATTGTGTCTGCCCCCTATTTCTTCAGAGAGTAAAAGACCCACAATCTTCATCAATCGCGTTTGCCCCCTATTTCTTCAGAGAGTATAAGACCCGAACAATCTTCAACGATTGCGTCTGCCCCCTATTTCTTCAGAGAGTATAAGACTCGAACAATCTTCAACAAATGGGTTCGCTCCCTATTTCTCTAGGGAGTATAGAACTCGAACATCTCTTCAAACGGGTTCGCTCATTCTTTCTTTAAGGAGTATAGAACTCGAACATCTTCAAACGGGTTCGCTCCTTCTTTCTTTAAGGAGTATAGAACTCGAACATCTTCAAACGGGTTCGCTCCCTCTTTCTTTAGGGAGTATAGAACTCGAACATCTCTTTACGGGTTCGCTCCCTCTTTCTCTAGGGAGTATGGAACTCGAACATCTTCAACTGGGTTCGCTCCCTCTTTCTCTAGGGAGTATGGAACTTAGACATCTCTTCAAACGGGTTCGCTCCTTCTTTCTTTAAGGAGTATGGACCTCGAACATCTTCAAACGGGTTCGCTCCTTCTTTCTTTAA